TTGCTTCCAGGTAGAGCTATTGCTCTGCCTTGCCTCCAAAACTGCAGCACTTCTTTGGGGGGGGGGGGGTCTCCACACAACACTTGTCCTGTGGTTGTCCCCCTTCTGGATTTTTCCCTGGCTCCAGTCCTCAGTGATTTCTCCAAACCCGTTTTGGTATGAACCTTCCTAAAACAGTACACTCACAGCCCTTTTAAGAAAAGCCCGTGGCCACCTCTGAGCTTTTTGCCAGCTGTTTTTTTAACAGAAGAAGAGGAGGAGGAGGAGATTGGATTTATACCCCACCCTTCACTACCCAAAGGAGTCTCAGAGCGGCTTACAAACTCCTCTCCCTTCCCCCTCCCCACAACAGACACCCTGTGAGGTGGGTGGGGCTGAGAGAGCTCTGACAGAAACTGCTCTTTTTCAAGGACAGCTCTTATCAGAACTACGGCTTGCCCAAGGTCATCCAGCCAGGTGCAAGTGGAGGAGTGGGGAATCAAATCTGGTTCTCCCAGATTAGAGTCCACGCACTTAACCATTACACCAAACTGATGTATATATTGCTACAGTGTTAAAACAATATAGTGATATACGAACCACTAAATTAAAAAAAGCCCCCCTGAGGCAGGGGAATGGAGGGAGGGGGAGTGAAAAATCAGATTGCCCTGTGCTGTGTGGAATTTCTGTTGCAAGTATGAATTGAACAATAGTCGCACTGGCAACACAACCACGATGGAAAATCCCCCTTGTGTGGAATCAGCCCGTGGTTTCTCAAATCAGATCAAAGGTGGTTTGAGGAAGCATGGGGGGAAATGAGGAAACCATGAAATGTCAACAAATGGAAAAGAACTTTGTGAGAAGCTCTGAGAAAACCATCAGAAGGTCACCACCATAACCACAGGAAAACCTCTCTGTGGAAAGACCCTTAAAATATGCATAGGACTCTCTCTCTCTCTTTGATATATACTCCCAAGAATTCCCACAACCATAATGCCCACAGTTGAGTTCAGCAGTTCATTTTCTCTATTTCTATTCATACTATTTATTATGACTATAATTGTAATTACACTTTTCTAAAGCTTTTCAACTTTAAAACTACTTCCCTACAAATTTCCTTTCAAGGCATACCTCTTGAGTTTCTGTTCTTAAATGTACTTTAATCATAGACAGTCAAGAAGGGCTCAACATTAAATACAAGGCATGTGACATGCAGAACCTCACTCCTATATGTTCTGCATTAATCTAAAATATTGTAGTGCTAAACTCAAATCACCACTGTGGGTTAGAATCGGTACTTTTTTCATAATCCACAGCAACAATGGTAAATTCGACAATTTCACCATTCTTTTGACTACCTTGACTGCAATTTGAAGAGGGGTGGATAATTAAATCATGTTGATAATACCATGGGTATTATTGGGTAGCTATGGCGTTTTTCATGCAACAGAAATTTTCCCATTGTTCCTGCAGCTGCTGATACAGTGCAGCAGTAATGGGGCTTCAACGTGGTAAATTTACCTGCATTTCCCCTGCCCCATCCCCCCCCCCCCCCCCCCATGCCACTAGGGCACTTTCAATATATTTTTAATTGGCTATTGACTATTGTTATAACATTAGAATAATATGTGTATCAGGTTCACTGAATTCCTAGTTTTCATTTAAAAAAAAAGGAAGTCCCCAACTCCTTTCCCTGCAGGGATATACCTTTCCCTTTATATCTCTGCAATGAAAGGTGCTATTAAGTTTTTTAAATGAAAGCTGGGAATTCAGATTGTTATATTATAACAACAGTCAACTGCCAATTAAAACAGTTACTGCATTCAGTAGCAGGGCAGGGGGATGGCTGTCAAAGGGACAGATGCAAGAAAAATAGCAGCGTGTGAATGAGACCAGGGAAATCTGAACATTCCCACTCCACACAGCAGCCATCCAGGGTTTGCTGTGATCTTTCCCAAAATTTTGCAGCAAATTAAATTTTGGAAATATTGAAGAAAAGTGGGGGAAAGCCTGGAAAATGCCTGAATATGCCACAATGCTGTGGGGAAACAGGAAAAATACACATTTCCTAACAAACATCAACCCCAGCACTGTTACCCTGTGTGGAAACCTACCTCACTTGATTGTTGTGGTGAGGATATTAAGGAGGAAGGGAAAATAATGTTCAGCCATGGACTCTGCATTGTAGTTTGTTGAGTGACCTTGAGCCAATCACGCTCTCTTAGCCTCACCTACTTCATTGGGTTGTTCTGTGGATAAAATAGGAAAAGAGAACCCATGTTTGCCATCATGAGCTCCCGGTAGGACAAAATTGCACTGGTCCAGCATTTTGGAGGAGGGAATATTTCCCTTTCTAGACCTCATGTCTCTCAAACATACTGAGAACAAAGGGGAAGAGGATTATTGTGGCTGGGTTAGGGTTTTTTAAAAAATAAATAAATAAAAGGAATCCAAAATGCCATTCATGGGAACTTATCTTCCTTTCATTTCAGTGTTGTTAAATACGAGTAGGAGGTTGGTGGTGGTCGGTACAGATTAGTCTGAATACTAGAGGGCATCAGATTCCCAGGGACTTTCCTGATAGCTTTGCCTATAAGTCTGGCTTACATTTGACCCCAGATATGATTTATTTCTTAACAAACACTGTAAGAACAGAGCTTGGAGTGTGGTCAAGGGGGCTTGCAGCTTTTATTAAGGGTCTCTCTACCTTTCCCCCCATCATCGGAGCACTGTCTTTTGATCTGTGCATTTTGCATTTTACCTACCAGACCACTCAGACAGATGCAGTCATGTATTATTTTCTTTCTTCCACTCTGATACATTATTGTGTAGATGCAGGGCTGCCAAGAGTTGCTGTGGGTCTTCTGACAAAATCCCCTTTCACCACCAAGTCACACCACATTTGTCTTCCCTCATATTCTGAAGTACAGTCTCACACAAGAATGGGTATGCTGCACCTTGCCCAGCTCAAAATATTCTTGATGTCGGTTAATAATTTTGGTCATTAATGAATGGAACAGATCTTCATGAGCAAAATTGATCTTTCAAAGGTAAAATTATGATTAATTTAGCTTAACAGCACAATATCCATTGATTCTGAAAGATGCAGACGTCCATACCTTTGATCATTTACATATGGATTGTTTGCACCAGCTTTGATGCTATTGGGAAGCCTTTTCCCCATGCTTCTGAAGAGCGCTGTGGAGCTTCTGTGTACCTCCTGGGTTTTCTTCATCTTTCCCGTGATCTTTCCCAAATCTGCTTTGCTGCAAAGTTTTGAGAAAGACTGCAGCAAAGTTGGGGTGGCATCTATTAGGATGGGAAAGTTCAGATCTTCCCAGTTCCACCCACATTGGTGTTATTTTCAGCGCCCCAGTCCCTGAGGCAACCATCCCACCCCAACCATTAAAGGCCTTTTCTCCTTTAAACCATGAGGCCACCAGTTGGCTAATCCACACATTAATCTGCTTTGTACTGAGCCAGACTGTTGGTCCATCGAGGTCAGTACTGTCTACACACACTGGCAGCGGCTCGCCAGGGACTCAGGCAGAGGTCTTTCTCATCACCTACTGCCTGGTGCTTTTAACTGGAGGTGCCAGAGATTGAACCTGGGACCTGCTGCATGCCAAGCAGATGCTCTACCACTGAGCCACAGCATCTTCCCTAAACTGATATATTGTTAGTGTCCTAACAATATGTCTACCAGGCTCCCCAAATCCCCTGCTCCCCCCCCCCAAAAAAGCAATTTTCTAGCCCTTTCATTGTGAAGCTATGCTTTTTCCCTTATATCGCCAGAATTAGAGGAGCTAGAGAATAAAAGCTGGGAATTCAGAGAACCTGATAGATTGATTGTTATAATAATGTTATAGTACTATTACTATATTCAATTGCTGGTTTTTTAAAAATAAAAATAAGCCCCTGAGTGGGGGATAAATGGCCAGTGGAGAGTACTAGGCCAGGAGAATTGCTGGGAAATGTGACCCATAAAAGCCCATTGCTGTTTCACTGTATCAGCTGCTGCAGCAGCAGCTATGGGCAATTCACAAAAAGCATTCCCATGTGGAAAGTGCCCTAGACTTGCAGACTTTCACTTATCACTTAAAAGAGCCAGCAAGTGTGATGGTGCTAAGTAACTGAAATCACATTCAGAGAATAAATTTCTGTTCAGTTTTATTCCATGCATCTCTTGCGATAAGCCTTTGATGTAAGCTAGTCTGCAAAAAAACAACTGGCCTAAGGATCCCTAGTCAGCTTCCTTGCTGTATGGAGATTTTAATCTGGGTCTCCCCAGTCTGACACTTACCACAGCCTTACCACACTGCCCTCCATTACTTACACCACACTGGCTAAATCTTGAACCTCTGGTCATATTTTCCAGCACTAGTGTACCCTAAATGCAAAAGTTCTAATGTGGAGAAAATTAGCTGTGCTTCAGTCCATCCCCCGTTTGAGATCAATGGAAGAAGTCAGTCACCATTCATTCAAGTACCACTGAAACCAGTTGTTCTAAGTTCTCTGAGACTATCTGAATTCCCATTGATTTCAGTGAGACAAGCATAACCAGCATACTCTGGATTAAGGGCAACATGTTCATTTCAAATTAGAAACATTTGCCTACTAAACTTGATATGGATGTCTTAACAAGAAAGAGAGTATTATGAGGGAGAAAAAAATGTGAAACAAGTTCATTTGTTTTTATTGTTCTCCCTGTCTGAAACACACAGAACAAATGAAGAATAATAATATAGTTTTTTAAAAAGATGGTTTCAGTCATAATCATTCCATTGCTTTTAATAGCATAAATAAGGACATTTTAGAAAAATTATTTTTTTAAGCACTTGAAGATTGTCCAAACTGATATTGGAAACAGTCATTTGAAATAATTAAGATACCTTTGTTCATCCTGTTGCTGGAGACTAATATTGTCCTGTGGGAAAATCCATGCAAATTTAGAAATATGCCTGCTTTAAAGGGGGGGGGGGGAGTGATCTTAAAGTGTCCTCCTCCGAAGATGCTATTTCCTAGCTGCAAACTTCCTCGAGTTCACTGTATGGCGATGAAGCTAATGAAGTTTTAGATTCTCCATCACTGTTGCATTCCTTTCTCAAACCAAGACTAGGAGCAGCTGAGGCCTCTGTAGCTGGAAGAACTGTTTTAGTCGTCCCTAGAGGATCGCAGTCTAACAAACTCTGAAGGTGCTTGATGTAGTTTATGGCTGCTTTCAGAGTCTCTACTTTGCTGAGACGTTTGTCAGCAAGCTCCTTGGGAAGATGGTCTCGCAGGCGAGCGTAGCCCTCGTTCACACAACGAACCCGTTGCCTCTCTCTCTCATTCCTCTTGCGGATGAAGGCAGGCTCAAAAGAATAGTCATATACTCCGACATACCCAGAAAAGGGTAAGTAGGAAAACCTTCCCGAGTATCCATTGTAGGCTTGGTGGTCCCAGTACATTGGATCGAAGCGGATAGGAACACCAAATGGTTCTCGGAGTGGTACCCCATGAGGATTTGCATGGTTGCTCCCAAAGGATGCTGGTCCTGGGAATGAGATCCTGTTCAGTAGCCCATCATCTTTGCCACTTCCCATTCTGCAGCAATGCAGCAGCAACTTCTAACAGAAGCTCTGTTGAATTAATCCATCAATGGGAAGGTCCAGTTGCTGAAAGCGCTGCCTCAAGAGGTACAATATTTTTCTGTTAACAAAGCAGTAGGTATATGCCCAAAGTTTGCAGCAGCAATGATGAATCCAGAACTCCACTCTTATGTCTCAAAATCAGCTCTGTGCCTGGATCTGTTATTACAGGGGCAGGATGCCTTCTAATTTATAAGGAGGCTCCTAGGACCATCACTCCACACTTTAAACCCAGGTTTTCCTCTGATCTTCATATTTCAAAAGATAATGAGAGGGTTCCTTCTGTTCCTTTTCTCCTAGCTTGGATGTGTGTGACTTTAGAGGTAACACCAAACATAAATAATCTTCCAGGCTGTAAACACTCCTCACACATTGTAATCCATAGTGCCCTTTGATATTACCTGTCTGCAAAAGGATGGGTAACTTGAAAAGTTTACATCTGCCAAGCATTGCCAGAGCTCCTCCTCCTTGAGAGCCAAGGATCTCCTGACAGCTGAAAAATTAGCCAAGGGGAGCAGCCTTTGTTGTTTCTGCTGTTCTAATGTAATGGAAACAGCTCCTGGAGAAGTTTGCAAAATTTTAGAGTATCTGACTGGTGTTTGTGTGTATGTGAGTAAGAGCCTCATATGAAACCAGGGCAAAGACTGCTCCCTTGTGGTTGCAAATTGTGTCCGAGAAGGCAGGTAGCCATGCATCATGCAGGAGGATTATTCTGTCATTTATGTTATTTGCAACTAAAAAGGATACTTCCTCAAGGAAATAATCACAGTTGCATCTTCTGTGCAAAAGATCCTTTATTTTTTGTTGCCATGTGCTCGAACAATCCAAGCAGCCTGCAGGACACTGGGAGTCAAGGCATCCTGTTTTGCAGCCATGAAGTCCAGCACTGAGCAGATCCGGACCACGGTGATCTCTAACATCATGGCAAAATCCTTTAATACGTTGCTGTGGTGGGGGGAGGAAGGAACACACTGACTGGTGGGAAAAATCTTTGCAAAATGTTATTTCTGAGTAACTCTCCCAATTACAATGGGCTCTACTGGTAGCAGGAGCTCCTTTGCATATTAGGCCACACACCCCTAGTGTAGCCAATCCTCCAAGAGCTTACAGTAGCCCCTGGGTCCTGGTTATAAGCTCTTGGAGGATTGGCTACACTAGGGGTGTGTGGCCTAATATGCAAAGGAGCGCCTGCTACCAGTAGAGCCCAGAGCATCCTAAACCAGAGTTACCCACTTCTAAGTCAATTGAAGGAAATGGGCCTGGGAATATGCAACTCTTCTTGAGACGGTGCTGTAAATACATGGCCCATTGACAGGATAGGCCTTGTGCACTCCAACTTTCCAAGTGTGACACAATACATTCATTTATTTCCTTATTTATTTGTTTGTTTATTCAGTTTATACCCCACCCTCACCACCAAGGCAGGCTCAGGGCAGCTTACATAAAATTCATATAAGTACACTTAAAACAGTTACAAATAACATCATCATAAAATAACATTTCATTTGAAATAATTCTAAAGTGCTGGGATGTAGTCTAGTAAAGTGCAAGAGCAAGATTTCAAGTTAGCAATACAATCCTGATGGTATTCTCACCAGCTCAGTTTGTTCAACTTATTTGTGCGGCAGGCACAAACTGTAGGTGGTAAGGCCAGGGCACAGGGACACTCCTCGGTGTTTGAAGCGACTCCTTAGTCAAAAGCCTGGTGGAAGAGCTCTGTCTTGCAGGCCCTGCTGCCTGTTTTGCAGGCCCTGATGAACTGTAAAAGGTCCCGCAGGGCCCTGATCTCTTCTGGGAGCTCATTCCACCAGTACGGAGGTGTCACCGATAAGGCCCTGGGTCCTGGTTATAGCCAGCTTGGTGTCCTTGGGGCCTGGGAGGGCCAATCAATTTTGGGACCCTGAACACAGTGCTCTCTGGAGAATGATGCACAAATCTGTGCCCGTGTGCTCCCGAAGTCGAATTGGAAACACACAGCTAGAGTCCAACGAGTTAGATGAATCTGTTTATTGCAAAGGAAACAGGGAATACAGGGGCTGAGTACCTTAGCACTTCAGCAATTCCAAGCCATATTCTACCATAACTAGGAAGGGCAGAAGGTCTTATACCCTATGTGACATCACATATAATTTACACATTCAAAAACCTTTAATTGGTACCAAGCAGTTAACATCATGGAAGCATCATTTGACTCAGTGCATCTCTCATTGGTGTCAGTAATTACACTTGTTTATCTGGTCTTCAGAACACTGGGAACATTAAAGAACACTGGGACCTTTTCTGGCCTCAATTATGGAGAGCTAGCTGATAAGGACTGTGATTCACACTAAACTTTGCTCTCAATGTCCTTGCAACTTCTAAATAGCATTCTATTCTATCGCATCTGAATCTATTATGATTAAACTTTTGAAGGCACAGTGACAGCTGTCAATATATATTAATGTACATACATATATATGTGTATGTATGTATCAAGGAGAGAGTGTCAGAAATCACATTCTTTTCCCCTTGTCCTACAAGAACATATGGGGAAAGCCCTGACCATAAAGGGCTTAAAAGTTTAAAACCAGCACCTTGAAACGAATCTGGTATGCTATCGGCAGCCAGTGCAATGCTTTCAGCACCGGCTGGATGTGCTCCCACACAGGGAGACGCATCAACAGCTTGGCCGCAGCATTTTCCACTAGCTGCAGCTTCTGGATTTGAGACAATGGCAGCCCCATGTAGAGAGCATTACAGTAGACCAATCTCGAGGTGACATTCACATGGATCACTGTTGCCAAGTCGTTGCGTTCGAGGAAGGGAACCGACTGCCTGATCAGCTGAAGATGGTAAAAGGCTGACTTGGCAGTGGCTGCTACCTAGGACTCCATTGTTAAGGAGGCATCCAGGAGCACACCCAAACTCCTAACCTCTGGCGCTGGCATTAGCTGCGCCCCACTGAAGGACAGGACTGGGATCCCTACCCCCGGGCTGCCCCAGCTCAGGCACAGGACCTCTGTCTTTGTTGGATTCAATTTCAATTCGCACAGTCTAAGCCAACCAGCCACAGCTTGTAACACCTGGTCTAGATCTTCCAGTGTAGAGTCAGACCGGCCGCCCAACAACAGATACAGCTGGGTGTCATCTGCATACTGATGACACCCTAGCCAATGCCTCTGGGCAAGGGGGTGCATATAGATGTTAAATAGCATCGGGGAGAGTACTGCCCCTTGAAGCACTCCACAAGTCAGTGGATGCCTTCAGGACAGCTGATCCCCTAGTGCTACCCTTTGTCCCTGATCCTGAAGGAAGGATGCGAGCCATTGCAAGGCAAGCCCCTGAACTCCATAGTTGGGGAGGCAGTGAATCAGTCACTGATGGTCAACCGTGTCAAACACTGACAACAGGTCCAACAACAACAGCACCACCTATTCGCCTTGATCTAGATGCCTCCAGAGGTCATCCATGAGTGGATCAGTAGCTGAAGGTAGACCATGAAGGCAGTGGATCAGTAGCTGAAGGTTGACCATGTCAGACACTGACAACAGGTCCAACAACAACAGCACCAGAATTGGCCACCTAGTTCTATTGTTCTATGGTTAATTCCTAGTGGTTAAGTTGGGGGGGGGGGGAAGAGATGTCAAGGATCATGAGAAGAGCTAAATATGCCCTTTTTTCTTTTGGATTTCCAAAAGTTGACAGGATTTTAGAAAAAAGGGATAAGGTATTCCAGGCATGTTATTATACAAGATACCTCCCAAAAGCTGTAATCCACCCCATATAGCGATTTGTGCTTAAGACCCATTCAGATTCACGAGGCAAGTTAGATACAATCCACTGGTTTCAATGTGACATATATGACTAACTTTGGAAAGATCTCCTTGTCTCCTGTTCAGCCAGAGTTCAAAAGTAAGACAAACTCTTTTCCTTGCCATTAGATGTTAATGTCAGTGTTTACTGTAAATAAGGCTCACCTGCTACTTCTGAGCTGATGAGTTCTGGCCTGCATACATGACACAGCCATTTCATAAATAATTTTTTTTATCTTGCGCACAAAGGAGGCAGTTTTGTGAGAATAATAAAGTGTCTGCTTCAGAAACTGAAAAAGGTTGTGCAGTATTGTTTATAGTGAACACTTACCTCTGCAACAAACAGAAAAATATGAACAGGTTTTATGGTATACTAGGAAAAAGGCTCGTTGTGGAAATAAATACAATGAGCTCTAGAACGAGGCTCTGGGTGGGTGCCCCGGCCTTGGACACTCAGTGTCAATTTGCTGTGGTGACCTCAGCAGGGTATAATGACACTGAGTCCACCATTTTCTCCAGTGGAACTGATCTCTGCTACCTAAAGAACAGTTGTAATTTTGAGTGATCTCCAGCCCTCACCTGGAGATTGGCAATGATGGTTCCCCAGAAGGGAATGGTTGGTTTGGAGGGTAGAGTCTATGGCTTTGTACCTTTCCGAGGTCCCAAGCCTCCTGAAACCTCACCCTCTCCAGGCTCCATCCCTCACATCTCCAGAAATTTCCCACCTGGAGTTGACAACCCCATCTCCTTCCCAGCCAATCATCAACCTACCTTTATTTCCCCTTCACTCTTCAGCTTTCCACCCCCCACATCTGCAGCCTCTCCCGTGCTCTGAAGCCCTGACTGCTACGTCACATTGGCTGTCATACGGGGGCCACCTCAGCAGCATATCAGGATACAGAGCCCACCACTGATCTCTGCCATCTGGAAAGCAGTTGTAATTCTGAGTGATCTCCAGCCCTCACCTGGAGATTGGACACATTTTACCTCAGAACAGCAAACTGTTTAGAATGTTAGGCAAAAGCCAATCAAGTCGCATATGCAAACGATGTCTGTGTTCCGAGGCAAAGGCCAATGAGGTTGCATATGCAAATATCCTCTGAGTTCTGACTGGCTATGTGGGGAAGAGGAACAGCAAACTGTTTAGAATGTTGGAGGCAAGAC